ATAAAAAGATTTTTCTCGAGTTCGGTTATCGACTCGATAAGAATAATTCCATTACAAATAAAATGGCAAATCTTTAATTTAATTCCTAGTTTTTTGAACAGTCCTTGAAAGAATAGAAATAAAAAAATACGTGACTTTTTACGTACACGGGAATATAGACGTCTCTATTTCAAATTGAAAAGCAAATGATTTGCAAATATGAGAAAACGGAACGGTGCATTAAGAAACTTTATGTTATTAACAAGTACTTGCCCAACTTTGATGTTAATTGATATTCCAGAAATGACAAATGAAACATTCTTATTTATTGTAACTTGCAGACTACTTGTTCCTAATTTAGTTATTTAGTTCAACAAGTCTTACATGTCATTGAAAAAGTAAATTAGTAGGTTCATGTATACTAAACAGTTTACATTAAGTACAGTATTTTGTGTTTATTGTTTGTAGTAAATTTGTTTTTTAGTTAAATCGATTGTCATTAGAAAAGCATACAAACAATTTAAATAATAAAGTCCATTGACAAATATGTATATAAAAAAAACAGAGTAGAACGAACTCGATTTCTTAAAGCATGTGATCTATTTAGAATTACATAATATATTTCTCATACAAAATGGCAAAAATACTACAACTACCTAATTAGCAAAAGCTCCATACAATATCCTGTTACACAAATGTAAAAAGCACACTTGCATATCATTAAACATTGGCTCATTATCAAGAACAATAGCTCACCAGACGAACATTTACTTAATCATGGCTTTTTATTAGGTACGCATTATTAAAGTTGAAACGAGTACCAAACGTCAAATTACGATTCTGAACAAAAAGGGGTCAGTAAGCGGTCGAATGCAAACTGCAAAAATGACGAAGATTGTTCATGGCTCATTATGAAGTTAAATGAATGGTGTTGGTTTTGTTCTTCGGTTTACGTGTCCCGAGGTCGTGCACGCGTGTTCACTGTATGTGACCACGGCGAGCCAAGTAGGCTCCCATAGTTCGGCTGAGCTCACGCCTCTGCGCCTCGCCTCCCGAGCCCACCTTCAATTACCGCAGGGAGTAAACCTCCGTGCACAAGTGCGCCTTGAAAACTTATTAAAATACAATCTTTATATTTCTCAACTTGCACTACTCTGCACTTATAACATAATCAACATTATGATTAGTTTGCAAAACCGTATTATAAAATTTCATCAATTATTTCTCGTCCTTATTTCGATAGCGCGGTTGTGTATTCCTCCTTACAATTGGTTGCGACTTCACGAACGCATTCACAAAATATTAATCTGGAACTCGACACTTGGAACGCAAGCTTGACGATTCTCGAATGACCTAAATAAAAACAACTTTGTCGTCTTTTGTTCCCTTGTTTATCAAATGCAAATGAACATAACAAAAGAGTAAGAAGATAATGAGGTACCTACATGTTGTTTAACAACACACAATAAAATACAGAGTTACATTAATTTGTTAAAGTATCTACTCATATGTATTTATGTTTAAATGAACCAACTATCAATTACAAACACAGTTTCATTAACATTTTTATTTACATTTATTTTTTAAATTTCTTTTCCATCCTTTCCTTTCTGAATCGATGAATCATTTTTTTTAGTGTTTGTGTAAGTTTGAAGTATATTATTACGACAGTAAAGTTATTCCGACATATGTTACGTTGCGTTATCAAACAGTCGAAAACAAAATTTTAACTCTTGTTCAAATTAAAATTAGGTCTGTATAATTTGAAGAACTTAGACATTGAATTTGATCGATGCCAATCTAAAACTCCTGCTAAAGATCAATCCATTCTAAGCGTAAGGAAAGTAAAATGATGCCACCCGAGATTTAACGTGTCCGAGGTATTAAAACGAACGCTACAACGCAGCATAAACGTTTACAGCCCATTCTTGAACTTAATTGCTATTTAAATAAAAACGTACCATGAAAGCAATGGGACCATACTGCTATTAAAGAAAAGACTTTGAATTCTTATTAAGTAAACTTATTTAAAGTCAGACTTTATTACGGTCTCATATTATGAAATGGAGAAAAAAATAGAAAGCCATAACTACAACAGGATCGAGGCAAGACTATTGAGTGTTAAAAGTCTTATGAGTTCTGCGTCGAGCTGTCGATGGAGCTTACATTTCAAAAGTGGGAAATAATGAGGATAATCCTCTCCCTGTCGAGAGAGCGACTGTGGCTCCCTCTTATCAAGGAGATAGCGAAATTAGATCGCATACAGCACGCACTCGGCCACTGACCGAAACCATTCTGTATTATCTTTATTAACATTCGTTGGCGTATGTAGTCTTCACACCATTTTAATTATGGCTCGCAAAACTAACCGTATTATTAGATAACTGGCCGATATTAATACGAGTGCAAAATTTAATAAACTCTTATCGTATAACAAATAAGGGTGACAGCAAATCCAATAATTGATTTATGAATCACAACCACTTGAGAGATAGTGTTTTGTTTTTTAAATAATAAACTCATTTATTATGGGGATTTTATTTGATTTTCGAACGAAAGTACTTCAGAACTTGGTATTGTAACAAATAAGTTTGGAAAGACCAGAACTAGTGGATTATTTGATTAAATGCTACGAAGTAAGAAGTGTTTATTTGTAATATGACTTTGCAGAATCTGTAAGGAAGTATTTAGCAGATTCATGTAACGACCTCTTTACAAAAACCTAGATGCCAAATACTAAAGAATATTTCACTTTATTGTACCGTAGGAAATGCCAGTTAAAATGATTCGAAACAAAGAACACTTAGGCCTGATTTTACACATACAACAAAAAACTATACAAATTTACATAAAAACTTGTTCTAACTGGTTTCGCTGTTTCTAAAGTTATTGATGACTATGTTCCTTAGAACGATAGAGTTGATTGTAACGTGTGATTCTACTATTTCAAGTAAAATAACATTTTATATTATTGATTCGTCTCATTTGTGTGTAAAATTGTCATGCCATATTTTTATTATAAGGTAGATAAATTTCTAGTCGTAGGTTAAAATATATTTTCTTTTTAAAAGATTATTATTTTCTTTTTAGTAAGTAAAGGTAATATATATTTGTTATGTATTTGTTTTATACAATATATTTGTTTTGTTTTATTATATTGTAATATTTATCGATTACTTTCGCAGTAACCATATTAGATAAAAGTGAAATTGAAGTGACAAATAGGTTTTATATTTTTTTTTCATCTTCGCACATTTGGCTCTATTGTGATAGTACCTACCTAGTTAGATTGTGAAGGAGAATATTTTACAGGATTTTTTAAACTTTATGGGTGCACGGTAAGAAATTGTACTAAAAAAACAATATTTAAGTAAGCCGTGACCAAGAAAGAGAAAATAATATGTTTATCTCTTTCTTGGCCGCAGGGACATAAGGTTTTTTATTTGATTGACTGGCTTTCATATTTATTTATTAGTACAAATTTTGAATTTCGAAAAAATAATCTTTTGGTTATTTAATAATGTATGTATTTATATATGCATTTGTTTTATCATTTAGATTTTTATATGCATCCAATTATAGCCTTAATTACAAGTGTGTTTGATAATTTAATTGATTGATTATTCAGCCGTGGTAAGTATAAGGCAGAAGTTGCAACGCAATTGACTTTTAGAAAAAGTAATAGAAATTGCTTTAGAAACTTTTTTCTGATTATGATTTAATTAAACAGTTCTTTTACCATTATTTTGGTGTAAAAAAATGTAGCTCTATTATTTATGTATAAAAAGAATGTTTCTTGTTATGCTTAGAAAAATAAAACAATGTATGATAGAATTGACCGCATATTACGATTTTTTTGTTTTTCTAGGATTTATAATATATTTATAAGAAAGTGTAGTGCGTAAGTATCTAGGTATATGATTATTTGGACTCTTGTTTGTTGTCCTTAGTAATACATTAATTTTTATCTTTATCTGAAAAATAAAGTTACCTTTATATTATCAATTATTGGAAGGTACTTAGTAGGTAGGTACAAGAATCATTATACGTATTTTTTATCTTATTTTGAACAACCAATCGTGGAACATAAATTTCTTTGATAAAGGCTCTTATTTATTGAGTATTAAAGATTATTTTTCTCTAATAAATGCAACAATGCAATGGAAACCGAATTAAGTATATGAATTACAGACTAAAAATAAAATAATAATTTTATTTATGATATAAAACGGAGAGATAAAAATATGATTTCGATTACAATGATTGCGTCGGCAAAACATATTATTATTTTATCAGTGTTTGTTTACCAAAGGTATTAAAAATAATAATAAATATCCAAGAAAAGTATAAATACTTATTTAAAAAAATATTTGGTATCGGTAATTTTTTTCATCCCGGTATGAGAAAAATATTATTGTAAGAAGGTGTTATTAAGTAGTATTGTAGATATGTGTATTGTAAAAGGAAAATACACTTAACTTTTTAGAGAATTTTCAAATGCTATTTCTAGGGATATTTTCCATAACAATTTGCACTTTATTAGAGTTCTATTTAAGTATTAGAACGATTGATTTGTATTGTCTAGGTAATTGATATCAATTGGTGACCTCTAGAGTGCATTGAATATTATTCTTTTCCAATAAAATTAAATAAAAATGTTTGCTGGAAAATATTTCTAAATGTTCTATCGTTTTCTTTTATCCTGTTTATTTGTTTACATGGTGTCTGAAACTACACAGTTTTTGACACGTATTTCTTTTAGTAAGTGCATTTAGATTAATGATATTTATGACTTGGAATGTAAAAAAATAACAAGGAAAATACTATCGATAAGAATTTTGTATTTTGAATTAGGTTATTAGAGAAAATAATAAATCCTATATTTTAACCACATGAACATATCACTGTTATTGTTAACGGCATAGAAGTACAGCACATTCACATATTATCATCTTACATCGCACTGCAATAATTTGTTTAGTTATTATTAATTAGAAAAAAGTTTCGAAATGTGTATTTACCTGATTGGGGGGAGATCCTCGGAAGGCGAACTGGGAAGTCATCTCGTTCTGTGTAAGTCGCCAGAAAACTTGTAAACGATCACGGTTAGTTTAATGTCTGTGTCACTGTCCGCACACACTTCACAGTTGCATGTTTGTCGCGCGGTGGCACTATTGAGGGCGCGAGTCGACGAAGCCGCGGTGCATCCCCGGGCCGAGCGAGAGCCAGCGAGCGTAGCACGGGATGCACTCGCGACGGTGCACGGTGGGTAGCCGCGAGTCCGCGAATATCGATTGCGGTGTAGAGTCGGGATAGAGCGGAGCGTCACAGGAGCGGAGCGAGCCGCGAGGTGCAGCGGGCGCGTGGTCGCGCGCGCGGCGGCAGTGGGTAATGCGGTAGCTGCCCGCCAGGTGATAGTAATTGGCGCCGCTGTCCCGCTCTCTCGTCGGCCGTCCCTCTCGGCGCGCACACGCACACTCGCCGCTGTGTGCGTGATGCTCGCACACCGCTCCTTCTTTTCACGCTCGCGTCGCCGTTTGACCCCGCGCGCCGTCGACGCTCTCGATTTTTGCGGTGCGGTGGGTGGCGCCCGCCACAGGGGCGGCCCGACGCGGTGGGGGCCACCGGAGGTGGGGGTAGATGCACTCCTTTCTTTTTTAAAGCTTCTCTTTCTTTTCTCGTATTTTTTATGTTAGTATTGGTACGAAGCGGTCTCTTTTATTTTATTTTATACATATATATTGTGATAATTAACAGTGACGATGCGCACGACGAGCGAGTTTGCCGAAGCGTCGACTTAATGATAGCTTTGCATTTGATTAAAGGTAACCACGACATTTGTAATTTTTATTTTCCTTCCATGTGAATCGTAGCCGAGTAGCTATACAAGTCTGCCTGTAAGTCGGCTGTGGCCTGTTGTGTACCCGATAGCTTATATTACGGGGGTCGCTTTAGCGGTGGAAACATGTTAGCGGTGACAGCATTAAACGGTCTTTTGAATGTGTTTCACTTATGTCTGTATTGCGTACCAAGTAACCTATACGAAGTTTTATCTCCAACACAAATAGAACTGGCTTATTAAGTACATTTACTCGTGACTTGCTTATATTTTGTGTAGTCTCATAAACAAACATGTTTTACTCAATGCGAATACCCATTAAAAGTTTGGTTCTGTTTGCTAGTAGTTACGAATAAGTAAAACAGAATACGTTAGGGATAACTAAGTAGGTATATTTAATGCAATTGAAATTGTGATTGAATTTGGACTTACCGATTTTAGTTTTACTTTAATGGTTGCAAGGGCATTTTAGCAACATTTAAGTAAAAATAATATAAAATTGCCAGTTATTTAAGACGGTGTAAAACGATAATGGGAGATATCCATCTACAATTAAACTATGACAATAACACACCAAGTATCGAAATAAAAAGCGCAACGTCCCCGATCGATCTGTTCCCCTCTTCTTTCTTATCGCGCGAATATTTCACAGTGAACGCATACCGACCGAAAAAACTCACACAGATATAAAATATTCAAACGGTATAACATAAAATAAATTATCTTAGGTGAGTGTGAGATTGTGTGCGTTGCCCCCTCCTCTGGGCGGGTACCGGCGACCGACCAATTGGGTCGAGCGGCGCGCGACGCCGGTCCAAAGTCACTCAACGCGGCGCTGCTGCCGTTGCCGCACGCTACGTTCCGCTCCCGCTCCGGCCGTGCTGCCCCGCCGCCGCCAGTACTAAGCCATGACCTTAATCCTTTGACTCATTACACCGACTTACTGACACCGCAGCGCACTTACACTTCTACACTGCTTGCACACTCGCCTCTTGTATCTGACCCTCCTAAAACTGCCACAAAAACTGTACACGGTTTCAACAAACTAGTTTGATTTTGCACCAATTAAAACTGGATCTAATCAGTTTGACATCAGATTTGTGTCATATGTTTTCCATTCATCTATTTAAATACAGTTGTGCGTAATAGATCCATACTTTTTTCCCAGCAATCTTTCCACAAACAGACAAAATAGTTTAGAAACAACAACATATAAGTTCATTATTTAAAATTGGTTATTCAGGACCCTTTTTCCATCAAAAATTAATACACTCTATTTTATTATAAGTAATTATTTCGACACATTTTCTTAACATGTGACAACTTTTATACTAGATCTACCTATACCTAACTATATTTTATCTCTAAGTACTTATCTAAATAAAGGATCGGTTATTGTTTTGTCCTAATTATTGTTTAATTTGTCTTAATCCGTTTCTTTTAAGAAACCGTCTCTTTTGAGTTATTTCGTGTCAAAAATGTAATTATCAAGATCACTAAACCTGGGTAAGTATCTATACGATGTTCAAGACTTTTCAAATTAAAAACATATTTAGGTACAATCACAAGCAACAGCGCTTTGCAGGTCCGATTAAATTGAGTAATTCTAGTTTCATGAGACGCCCTGTGTCTTTACCCTCGGTACGCCAGCATACGACGAAAGTGCTTCTTCTTGATGTTTACATCTCTGCGCTCGTGTTTGTCGGCACACATTCATAATGCGGGACAATGACAGTAAATCAAGAACATGTTAAAGCTCTACATTTTCGTTTATTCTGCATACAGTTGTTAGAGCTCAACTATTTGACATTAATTTGTAATAAGTTTACGTTTATTTCGCCAGAAATTTATAAAATGGGTCAAATAGAACAGATTCAACAATGTCAGTCGATTATGTTGTCTCAACTAAAATTTTCCTAAATTTATTTGTTGCCTGCTGACTGACACGGTTTGCAATAAACACGCTGTGAAAATATTTTCTCGTCTTGTTATTTTTGAAGTTACCGGTGGACGTTGCTCATTCGACGGCTTCTTTTAATTTCGGCCGAGGCATGTGTGGTGATCTTTTATGAGCCGTCCACTTACACCTATAATCGCTATATAGCCTCAACGACAGATTGAAATAAAATGGAAAGACGCATCGGCATCTTAAAAGGCGTGCGCATAAGAAAATAAAAAGAAAGTGAAGGTTATTTGTTTTAGTCAAATGAGTTTCTGACGTGGAGCATCTCATACATATCGAGTTCGTAGAAGGCAGGCTTTATTAGCGCGACTGTACCGGCACAAAGACACATCACATTTAAATATCACACTAAAAGCGTCAATCTACATACGTCCTATCGAGCAAATCCTAAAAGTGATTTATACTGAGACCCTATTCGATTGAAGTAGATTACAAATAATGAATAAAATTGCATACGAAATGAGTAGACCGAGAGTCCGTGGGTGTACCGTTGTTTGAGCGGGGTGGGGGAGGCGTGCAAGCGGGTTTATTGCTGGTAAATACTTACCTAGTATACCTCTAGATACCTCGCCGCCGCTTATCCGATATGCTCCTGTGTGGATACGTCAAAATTCATTTGCGCTTTTGATCTGTGCTCCGATGGATCAACCTCTTTCCGCACGCTTGCATTAAATCAGGGAAGTTATCAGAGGAAATGGGAAACGACACACACAGCCACAATAAGACGATCCCATTGTCGTTCGAATTCAGAATAAGCAGTTATTGGACGGTTTTTGTTCATTACCCATGCGTGGTAAATATTTAGATAGGAACGCACATTTTAAATTGAACTTTATTGCTTAGGTGTTAATATTTTTTTGGGTTGTAAAATTATAAACTATATCCATACGGTGTAGTGTATTAAATTGGCCACGAATGTTTACACATGCCTAGATAGGTCGCTATTTAAGCATGTTATTAGTGATTCAGATTATTCTAATTAATACAATTTGCGGACTAAAATTACTGGGTTATATTTTATTACTGGGTTTTGGATTATAGCTAAGTGTGTACAATAGGTCATAAGTCGTAGTTACTTAATTAAATTGAACTTTGAACTAAAAAGAAAAATACACACCAACATGACTTATAATAGAAAACCACTGAATATAAAATGCAATAATAGATTCTGAAATGGAAAATTTTGATAGATTGTAAATATTTTATTGTAAAATTATTCTTATAAATAAAGCACTCAGGCCTCCGGCTTTCTATTTTGATTTAATTTAGAATTCATATTCGGTTTCCAAGCTGAAATAGAACTAAATTGCCTCTGCTATCCAGGTACCTAGTTTAGGAGGAAACATATGAAATATTTTACACACATTTATTAGTTTGGATACCTGTAGTTATAGAAAAAAGTAGTTATTTCTCCCAATGAAATAAAATATGAGAGCTTGCAATCAAAGTGGTTTGGAAAAAATGCTATCAACCTAACCATACTGTACAAAATCCCGGTTGCTTGAGCGGGGCATTTTTTTAAACATATGCCTTAAATCGTAAGTCTATCATGTTACTTACCTATATGATAATAAGTGTTTAAATGCATCTTGAAGCTGTTATTTTTATATCATAGAAATAGGGTGGAATAGATTTTGTTTTTTTTATATAGAATAGGAGGCAAACGAACATACAGATCGCCAGATGGTAAGTGATCAGCGCCGCCCATGGACACCTGCAGCACCAGAGGAGTCACAGGTGCGTTGCCGGACTTTTAAGAAGAAGTACGCTCGTTTCTTGAAGGTATAATAGTAGGTACATAGATTTCCTAATATTGATTCCTTATTCTAATGAAAATACACAACAGATTTATTTACTTGGATTGTAGCTAATCTGTTCATATTATTATTAGAGTTATTTTTTACTAAGTATGAAATTTCAGTAATGCGAACGAATCGTCCATTTGTAACAGTTTTGTACAATCTTAACGCTTCGAGCTCTTGTTTTTTTATGTAATTGATCGTCAAACGAGCAGACGGATTACCTGATGGTAAGCAATCCGCCGCCCATAGACACCCGCAACGGTGTTACGAGTGCGATGCCCACCTTTTAGGGATTAGAGATATGGAGATTTAGGGATTGAGGAGGGATTCTGGGAGGGGAATCAATTAACGTTACGTTAATTAGTAAAAGAAAATTTGACATTGAAAAATAGGTACTGGCATCTTTATAAATTAGAGCAAACCAGAAGATATGATTTATTTTTAAAAATTCAAAAGGATTATATGCTTAATCTACATTTATTGCATCTCACATTGTGGAACATAGGCAATGGGTACATAAAGATATGAACAGTTAGTTTAGGAGCAATGTGAAATATATATAATCTGTCGAGTATAAAAAATAAAAATTTAAAGCTCTACATATATGTACAAGTATGCATGTTTTATATGTTGATGAGAGTACCCGCTAAAAGATATGATGTTATGTGATCGAGTTCGAGACTAAACGACTGTTTTAATTGGTCCGATAATGGACGAGTAACTCTATACTCAATAATGTCTTTATTAATTAAATTGAACAAGTCAGAAGGACCGCTAATAACAGGGCGCTACAGTACCTACCCAAGGACTATAATCAGTATTGGTATTTATAAAAATGCTTGAATAAGACAGGATTTAGTATTAAAATTATTATGAAGCCACTATTCATATGTTTACCTATTTCGAACATTTTCATAAGTAAAAACTTTATTTCGTATTTCCAAACAATGCATAGGGAATTAAATACATTATTTAGTGTATTACAATAAAATATAACAAGTGGTTATACAGAAACCAGCTTATAGTTAGTCGCTGATTACAACATATATGTAGGTACATATAAATAAAGAAACCTACAAATTTAAACTAGGTAGGTACCTATAGATAGATACAGCAAGTGTTTCTCATGAATGGGACTCATAGTTGCAATTCTACAATGAAGTTTCTGCTCCATTAGTCGAATCGAACTTGGATCGTTAATTACCTTCGACTTAATTATCGGGTTGCACGGAGCATTTTTTTAATTTAATTACTAGTGAACTTATCTTAGGAGCACACATTGAATAAGTGGGTAAACATTTTCTTGGGAGAGAGAGAAGACAAGTTACAAAAACAGTTTAAGACAAAAGAGTAGCGAAAACCAGAAATGAATCCGGGCGGGCGGAGTGCTTCCGCCCAACCCCGACGGCGAGGGCGCGGAAATAACACGGGAGGCACAGCCACAGACCTAAAAACATTTAGACTTACAAGTAAACAACAAAAGTATCACTATACCAATTTACAACTAATAAGACAACTTATTCATTTCAACTTACTACATTTTCCTCAGTTTTGGGCCCTGAGCTTTCTGTCTCGGCTGAACCATGATCAAATTTTATATCTAGAAAAAATATTATGAACGCAATGTCCTCCTATAATCGTATGAACAATTGAAATTTAAATACACTGTAATTTTAATCAAAATTTTCAAGTTTCGAATTCAACAAATTCGCATGCTGATTAGATTAATTTGCAAAATAATTCAATCGATTATTTGAAACAAATACGTTTAAAAATTATCATTAAGAAAGTAATGTAATATAATGAAGTCTGGTGTTTCGTTTATATTTAATTAAATAAATATTGGTTCAGTTCTAATAGAGTATGTTGCACTATTGTTTGTCGCACTCACCGAGTATACTGTTTGTGGATACGGTGGCACGGGTTAACGGAGTAGAGGGATGGTCATTTAGTGGAAGGTAGCCCTCCCCCCACCCCTCCGTCCCGCGAGCCGTGTCTGCAGCACAGACTGATTAAACGATCCTCTGTCTGTCTCTAAACTTGTTTGTTTTGTGGCCCTCATCGATACTACGTATTCCACATTTTAAAATCATTACTGAACTTGATATCCAATTATGACCTTAATTTCGTTTTCCCATCATATTAAAAATTTTGAACAAATACATATTGCTTTAGTTACATAAGTCTGTATTGGCTGGATATGTGATTTTTATCTGTTTGAAACAATGATGGATATTTCGAATAGTCCGAAGTCCGATAGTCTCATAAAAAATAAACATTCCCAGAGAA